CTGACTGGACACTCCAGTACATTAACACTGCACTGAGAGAGAGGGGTTCATACAGACACACTGACTGACTGGACACCTGGAGGCAGGAGCCTGGACCCATGGCGAGAATGACACACCGGTGCAAGAGGCAAACATGGTGTGTGTTTCCGCTCCGCTTTAGAGCTGCAATCTGCTGAGTGTGTGTGTGTCACGTGTCGGTCTGTACCTGCTCCACCAGGGCGGCGATCTCCTGCTCAGCCTTGGATAGCTCCTCCTCTTCCTGCTCTCGGCCCGCCCCCTCGCTGCCCTCCTCCAACGGGATGTTCTCGTTGAACTCGGCCAGCTCCGCCACCTGCTCCGCCTTCGCCTGCGAGGCGGCGGCGATGTCCTCCTCGTCCTCCGCCCGGCACAGCGCCTGGGAGAGAGAGGAGCTGGTGAACCCCGGGCCAGCCGCTGCAGTTTCTGCCCGCAGAGCTAGAGGCGAAACCGACTGAACTTGACCGAGGCGTGCGGCAGGAGAACGCGGAGGCACGGGAAGGACCCCCCGCCCCAGCACGCAGACCCAGCTGCTTGCGCTCTGGCCGAGCAATCCCACACTGCCCCAGGACAGCCAGTCCCGGACGGCTGGCGTGACACGATCCAGGCTCGAACCCGTGCCCACGGAAAGCCGTGACGTATAGTGTGAAGACGTACAAAAGGGAACGCCCCCCCAGCCATGAGAATGGAAAACACGGAGGGTTCAGGAGCATCACAGCATAAACCTCCCCCAGCAGCCAAGCTGAAGGCTCTACCAATCAGAAATTAATGGGGCTGATGGTCCCAAGTCGGACTTGGTTCCATCCAGTGTTACAGGGGTGCACTGAAGAACAGTACAGGGGGTCCCCATGCAAGTCCAGGATACGTCCCTAAATAATGCAGCTCTTGGCCGCGACAAGCCTGGGAGATCATGTGACCTCTGCTTAGAAGAGGAAAGTCTTATCCATGGAGAATAATGTCGTGACCTTCAGATACGTACCCCGAACTCACGCGTACAGAGAAACAGCGAGCCAGCATCAGCTCCTTTCCAGCTGTCAGCTCGTCAAACCCAACAGTCAAGCACTGCGACACGGTCGATACCCCCCCCTCCCCCCGACTCCAACACCGCTGATGCAGTTAACGCTTCCCTCGCCCCACGCCGCCCTAGTGCGCATCACTGCGTTCACAAGGTCAAACCATGCCAAAATCCCCACCCCGATAGTTTCCCTTTGCCCACTGCCTCATCACGGAGCCTCCTGAAAGCCCAATGTGGAGAAGAGGCTTTAAAAGTGAGCAATCACACCTTAATCCACCGCCCGGATCAATGAAGAGGTAAGAGATTGATTTTAACGAGGCGGAACAACGATTCATAATCCGAGTCACTTGCAACTGCACTGGCTACGAGAACAATTTTTACGTGTTACATTTTGCCTTTTTCCTTTGTTGTTTCATTTTGGAACAAGGCAATTCACTAACCACCTACACGTGCTAGTTATTGGTGCCCTGAAAAAAGGACAGATCAGTATGATGTTCGACGCATAATTAATTTAATTGACAACGTATATGCAAAGCAACAAATTATTAAGCCGACTTCCAACAGGGACCCTCTGTAGCTTGCAATTCGTACCAGGTTTTGCGCGAGTATGATTCCAGTGTTTCATAAGCCTAGAAATAAGGTGCAGTGGTCAACATTGCTGTCCACTGTGATGGACTGACATCCTGTCCAGGGTGTGTCCTGCTTTGCGCCTATTGCTTGCTCCAACTCACCCACAACCTCATACTGGATAAAAAGGTTAGAAAATGAATGGACAAGCCTTGAACTGGAAACAGATGCAATAGATATGAAGAATGGGACCAAAAACAGAGCCCTGTGGGATGCCAGTTGTGTCTAGGTGCACTGCAGCCCCTCACCTGCTCCAGGATAGAGGTGTGTTTGTTGTTCAAGGCCTCTTCCTCCTCTTGTCGGGAGGGGGCCTGGTTGGGCTGTTCCATCTCCTTCCTCTCCCCCTCGGTAAGATCAAAGAGCTCCCGAATTGTTTGCTAAGGAGAAAGAGAAAGGTTAATGCACTGACTGGACACTCCAGTACATTAACACTGCACT